CGTCGTTGTAATCAAACTGTAGTCGTTAGTTTTAAAACATTAAAAAAAAATATTTCTAATGGTGATTGAACCATGAAACTTTTTATGTAGCGCAATTATAACCTAAATTAGCTGAAAATAACCCTAGAACCTAGAGGCTACTGTTCCTTTAATGTATTTCTCTATGATGATCATTAAAAATTCGTTGCTATTGTAAGGCCGGGGAAAACGTAGAACTAACTATATTCAAACAATTGCATCCTGACATTCATATCATTTGGGCAATAGCACGTACATTTCCTTGCGTGTTGATATTAACAATTTCATTTGCAAACGATTGCGACACAATATTTGTTTGAAAAACATTTATCAACGAATTTTTATAACGAGCACAATACACTCGTCGATTTATAAGGTACCACCCGTACGCTTTTACTGCGTATACTTTAATATCGTGATGCGCCAAATGAAAGTAGGAGAGAATGCGCTGCCACGATTTACAACGCAATAGCAAATCCTCCAGATTGTCACCAAGACGTGGACGGAATTCTACCAACTGTGTGCGGAATTAGCATAATTTCTTACTGGTGGCTTAGAAGACTCTAGCGGGCACCAATTGGCAGCGCACGACCATGCGTGGGTCGATAGCATGTTGTATATAGCCGCATCGGCACGGAGACACCCCTCTGACGACGACTACACGGAGACAATCTATCCGTAAACGCGCACGCGATCGCTCACTGCAGCCAGGAAGCACTAGCGGAGGCAGGCGCACAACTATCTCCCCGCTGCGAGCAGTCAAGAGCTGGTCTCGGCAGCGAGCTCACTCCACGAACGGCATTCGGGCGCATATATGAGCTCCGGACATTAACGAAGCGCTTGTTTCTCGCTGACGCTATACACAGACGACAGGAGTTGCGACGAGTTGCTACCACCATCACGATGAGAAACTATATTTTGTACGTTGCGGCCTTTTTTTCACTGTGCCTGAGCATCGCTGCTGCCTGGGGCAGTCCGTGGGTAGGAAGCCACTACCCTGGTTACAACAAACGCGCAGACTTCTACGGGGTGAGTATAATAGTTTGTCCTCAAAACCGCGTACATTTCCGTAACTCGCGATACTCGTTGCTGCGATTTTGTGGAATCAGAATGAATTTCTTATTTTCCTTTCTGTGTGTTATACTTTTTCCCTACGTTGGATCTTTTTTCGATATTGTATTCTAATCCGTATATGACATTTTCAGCTAAACGCCATTTTTATTTTATTATTTGAATTAGAAGCATGAATAACTGAGTACTTGACCTATCTGTGTATGCATCTATCCATTCATACATTCATACATAGTGTGTGGGTGTGTGTGTGTGTGTAATATTGCATTTCTTAAATAAAATGGCATACATCAGCTACTAGATCGGCGTCATTGTAGATGTTTATAGATTTCGATTTCTTGTTTTGTTTTTTTGCAATCAGTTTCTTTTGAGATCATGGCCATTGTAGACCTGCTTTGGACAGTTTGATTACGCTATTAGGTTGTGGTCAGTGTCAGAACAGATAGCGGACTCTACGTCAGTATATAATACACGCAAAGTACTAATACGTCAATACGACAACGTTAACAACGATCGACAAATGCTAACGTCGTTTCAGCTGCTAGCTAATATAATCGACAATAGATGTAATATAGAAATATAAATCGAAATTGTTCGCCTCAAATCGTTCACTATATCAGGTCTAGAATTATAATAACTATATTATAACTATATTATAAGTTATAACTATCGATTGGTTTTATTTTGCCTGTTTTCCTGATCGATTTTCCGAATGTTTTCCGGTTATTTAGCTTTCTGCTTGGTTTGCTCGTAGCGGGCTATTCGTTGTTTCTGGGGATGTCAAAATAATTTTGTATTTTTATTTAGACGACGTCGTGGTCAAATGTATTTCGTAATTTCAACGAGTAATTCGGGTAGCAATGTCGCCTCTGCTCTAAAAGAATAACTCGAAACGTACACTTGTTTTTGCTAACAAATGAAATGTAGGTTCATTTGCCGCTAGCATACAGTGAGTCGACATTGAGTAATAGGACAGAAATCAAGACGGCATTGAATGGCACGATATTTCCGCGTCATCAACCAGTTGAGATGGAGATGCAGCGTGTAGTCTACAGACGAAATGCACTCGTTATTGTAATTTCCGGACGCAAACGACGTTCCACAAAGCTGGGCTACGCGGGCACTTACAACAAGTACCGGTGCCGTCTCTATTTCATGTTCGGTCTGTCCATGTTTGATTGATTCGTGCGCTACGAATGTTTACTGATTCACTTCTCGTACTCGTATGACGTTTTCTAAAGTGAAGCTTGGTCGCATCTCGTTTAGATTAACGGACAACATCGAAACGTTTGAAAAAGTGCACGTCGGTCTCGCGCGGTTTCATTTAGTTAGTGGACCCATGTTATCGGTATGTCAAGCGCAAATAGACAGAAGAACTCTTCCATTGGCACGCGGTGCGATGAAACAATAC